AATAATAATAACAATAATAAACTTTCAATTTTATTTGAATTTGCAAAGAAGACAAAAAGGATACAAGAAAACAGTGAAATCAGTTATAAATAACAAGTATTAATGTTCCCAAAACTGTGATATAATTGAGTACCTAATAGTAATAATAATAAGTTTGGTGACTTTCTAAAAATATACAGAAACATGTCAGCTAATAACAGGAGTGTATTCTCCTCTGATCTGGGATGAAAATGAGTTAGGAGGCATATTATTAAATCATCTCACCAATGATTCTTTTTCTTCCAGCAAAGATGGACAGAGTTTATCCTATGCAGGGATACTGTTAAATCTATTTACCAGCAGAAAGGATGGCAAAATGTTATGGTGGGTGAGAGTAAATGCTCTTCTATGAAATGGGCACATAACATCTGCTAAATCATGCTGTATATCAGATGAGGCTTTACTTAGGACATTCTAGATGCCAATATTGCAGGCCTTTTCATAATGCTATGACAGAGCAGACACCAGGTAGACTACGTGATGCAGCCAACTTATGTAGCTAAATGGAGAAGTCAGGAAAGGACAAATAATTATCTATTTAATTCAGCATAATTTATTGCCAGGGAAGGTGGAAAAGTACCCCACTGGAACTCCATATTCTTTTGGGACCATAGTTTGGCTTGGTCTCAAACCACGGTCTTGTTAGAGTTTCTTGATGACTACTTTGCCATTTTTATAGTTATACAAAACTGTAATCAAATTATTAGTCTGATATATGGCTTATGACATATCATGTGTTTGCTAATTATGTTTCATTTTATAAAAATGTGCTTCTTTCATCACAGTTAAGCTTATGGGGTAAGGACTGTGTAGATTGCATAACAAACTGGAAATACTGTATTTCTCTCTCTCTCTCTCTAAAAAACAAAACAACAAACAAACAAAAAAATGCCATCCTTCTAACACCTATACCTCGTTTAATAAAGTAAATCCTTCATACACAGCATAGTAATGTAGCAAGTGCTTGTGACTAGATTTGAAAAAATAATTTTTAAAGCATTTCATATCCTAGAATGCACCTGCCTTGCTGAACTCATTTGCCACTATATTTATATTCCTATTTAATTTTTGTGCAGTCTACCAGCAATTCTTCTATGTATCTCAGAGCAATTAGTATGTTTTATTCATCATATATCTGGTTTTCTTTCCACTATTTTATATGAAAACTGATCTGAAAATAATGTTATAAATTTAAGAGCAATAAACACTTTTAACCACCTGATAATAACTCCTCATAATGGAACCACTCTGATTTTTCACTGGTTTCTTTCTTAATTTTCTGGAGGGAATTAAAAAATTACAATATATGTTATACAAAGATCAGCAAGATAGAATTAAGTGTATATTGTGCATAATATCACTTTAAATTTGAAAAACATAGTTTAGTTTTTGAGATTTGTATGGGGAAAAAAAAACCCTATTAAATTGGTGGCATTAAAAATCACAGTTACATCTCCAAAACCATCCACATATGTAGCTGAGAAAAAATAAAGAAGAGAAAGTGTTCCAGAGAAAATAAAGGATAAGTTCAGATATATTTGGTGATTTTAAATCAGTTACTGAAAATGAGCTAGATCTTGTACTTTTAGTTGGAAATCAGTATTCTGAAATTAATATCATTTTTGCAAAGGTAATGTAGGCAATGACATTAGGTATTCTATCCCTAATAATTTACCTTATTATTAGTTTTAATTTAAGATCTATTATATCTTAAGAAACCTGAATATGGCAATGGACTCATTACTTATGCTTGAAAAATTTACATTCAGGCATTCTTTTAATAAAGTGAATCAGCAAAATACTGATTTATGCCACACATATTTTATTGCATTTTTCAAGTCACTGATTCCACTTTAAATTCTTGTATTATATTGTATTGTAAAATTATATCATCATGTTTAATGGAGAGCATCATTATAATGTATACAGCAAAGAAGGAACCCAGGTCTATTCTAGTTCATGACACTGAACTCTTGCTTTAACAGATGCCTTCTCCTTTTTTAGCATTAAAGTAAATGCAGGAAGCAGTGAAAACTATGTAAAACCCACTGATTCTTCATGAAATATCTGACTTTCTCTAAAGGTTAACAGTATCTTTGTAATCCATGAAATAGAGCAGCAACTGATTTCATTGCTTTGCACTGTGTCATCTCTACTGGGGCTATTGCTAATGTTCTCTGCTAAAGCCACTTTGCCATCCTCATTAAAGGCAAGTGCTTTGACATAATGAGCTTAATGTCCGTTAAGGTCAGCTAACAAATAACAGTAACCATGATTTAAACTTAATTTATAGATTAAAAATCAAGGAATAAATAAATTGAAATAGACACATTTTGGAAAAATGACTGAGAAGTTTAATTTGAGAGATAAGACACTAATAACTCTCTTCTCTCACTTATTCTACCCAAAACTTGTCACATATTTCTGCTCAGATGAAATAGAATTAATGAAGAGCCAAAAAAGGAATGTGATATGTCACTATGTAAGACTAAACATTCTTTCCCCATAGCACTATGACTGGAGCGCCTCTGGAAAACTGTAGCTAGTAAATCCATCAGCTCCTTCCCTACTATTCTTCCATCATTATCACTCCTGTAGCATTCTCGACATATGTAAATGCAAAAGGAAAGTAGCAAATGTTTGGAAATTGCTTTCTGTAGCCCTTCAAAATGCTGAAGTGTTTACAATGGTACAGGAAGGTCTAGAGTAGATTCTAGTCACCTCAGAAATTGATGATGAAATGTAGGATTCAGTTGAATCCATTGCATATCCTTCTGCTATAAGAGAGGCAAAATAATACTACTGTAACATTTTCTTTATAACCAACAGAACAATTTCTTTTCACCTATATAAACAGATAATACGTTGCAATACTACTATAAATCTAAACTACCTGTTGCTAATGCCACTGTTTCTAATAAATAAAAAAATATAAAACTGAAAGTAATCGCATCGCTCAATTTGCTAATAGTTTTTTTTAACTTACTTTACAAAAATTCTAGTAATATCCTGAATGAAAGCTGTATCAAATGGTCATACTGTAAAGGTATATTGAATCTGATGTTATATATCCAATCATCAAGTTTATATCCCAGGGATGGGGGGGACATACTGTATGCTTTAGTTTACAGCACAATTTTGGGGGATGCTTATTTAAGCCCCATTTATTCAACAGTGTTTACTTCCAGTTAATTGCTACAAGATTATAGCTTGCAGCCTGAAAACAGCATTGGTGACCTATGGTGTCTTTGCAATATTTGTTTTATTAATATATAAATATTTGTTATATTAATAATATAAGATAGCAGAAGAAACAGATACTTAGGGAATATTTTCCAAGTAATAATCCTACATGAAATGACAAATGCAGTTTTCAAATGGCAGATGTGGTCTAATTTAATATGGGTAAAGTGATACGTATTGGAGTGAAAGCTACATACACACACACACACACACACACATTGATGGAGTCCAAGTTTTCTGCAATGAACAAAGAAAAAAAAATTGGGGGTAATAATGGATGGATCAATGTGGATTTAATGCATGATAGGTATGAACAAAGCAGATTCCATGCTAGGAGTCATAAGGAAAGAAATTGAAAGTAACATTTGTAATGCCCTTATACAAATTTGTGGTATTTCTGCATCAGGAACACTGTATACAAGTCTGGTCCCAATATTTGGAAAAGGATATAATAATGCTAGAGAATAGTCATGTAAATTATCAGAGTGCTCAAACAACGTCTTCATGAGAAAAAGCTAGAATGAATGGATTCTTTAGTTTGATAAAAAGTTGACTAAGGGAGAACATATTTGAACTGTTCAAACTCATGTAAAGGATGGAGAAACTGGACAAGATATATTTTTCTTGTTCTTTCAAAACATTATTATCAGGATTTATTCAATGAAGCTGATTGGAAACAGGTGTTAGATAGCTCATTTCACACAGTGCATCATTAAAGCTTTGAATCATTACCATCACAAGTCATGGTGATGGTTGCAAACTTGCGGCAGTTGGTAAGGGGATTATATTAAGGGCTATTAGTCTTAAGACTCAGGGTTACCTCCTAGTTACCAACCTACCTAGTCTGATAGGTTTCCTTATCTAAATCTAGAGAAAGAATCCAGGGTCATGAAAAGAATGGACCTCCTTTTGTTAAGCTTTGAATTACTTCCAATTTCTTAGTCAGACAAACCTATAATAATGAGTAATACTGACAACCAAGACAGTTAAAACTAATACATGTTGAGAGAATGGATTAATTCAGACTATCCTTTGACAGATATATCCTGACTTAATAAGCCACAGTATACAGCACACTACATGCAGCAGTCCCCTACTTCTCAATGATAAGATGGAGAACTTTCATTTTACCATAATTGTCCATAAGTGACAATAAATAAATAATCAGATTCAATATAGGCTACGGTTTTAAACACTGGATTTTTCTTGTTATAATTTTGATAGGTATAATATATAGGATCAGAGTCAATGAAAAATTATGTTTATTTTTTTAAAAATAATTAAATACGGTAGGCTATGGAAATAATAGGCAGAACAAGTGGCATTAACAGTTTGATGTTTCAGTCTAAAATACACCAATTTTGGGTTTCTAAGTAGTTTTTGCTGATAGAAATCTTTTCAAAAGAACAAATAAGAAATGTGATCTTCCATAATTTAAAATAATTAAAGTACTATAGTCACAAGGAACTAATCTGCTTTTAGCTGTATAGTGAGTCCATAGATATCAGTAGGAAAGACATCACATGGATAATGTTGTGATGGCTATTTAATAAGGTTAAATCCCCATTGTGTTCCACATATTTTAAATAATGTTTAAAATTTTCACTATGCAAGGAAAACGTGATGCCCCAAAAACCCAAATAATGAATACAATTTCAGGACATAAACAATATCCCTAATAGCTCATCATCCATAAAATGCAGATACATAATACTTACAGTGTATTTCTAGGACTTGCATTGCTATTTGAGGTGTGGAGTTCAACGATTCATGATCTACTCTGCAACTTACAACTGCACCATCATCAGAACGATCTGCTCTGTAATTCATTGTACTGCTAACAGTAAATGTTTTCCGATTTGCATCCTCTTCTTTTAAATATTTAACATCTGTGAAAATAAAGAAAACCAACTTTCTATTACATATGCTAAACTATAGCATAGTTTAGGGCATATAACAACAGGGAAAAGAAGGCTACAGAACACGAAGCCATTTTAAAACAGCAAATGAAAAATGCACCTTTCATTATGTTTGCTCATCTTATCAAGGCAAACAAAGTTCTATTTCCAAACATTCCACTGTCTTATGAAACTACCAATGCTGTCATTCCCAAATGTACACAGGCACATATGGGAAATGTAATTTCAATAGGAATCAAAAGGCAGAACTGTCAGAATGAGATTCTGTTCCTCATTATTTTTATATAACTAGATTACAATCCAAATATTCTTCCCATATAGACTATTTTCTCCCCCCCCATTTTTTTTCTTTCTATAACTGTTGATATTTTAATTGTTGTCAAATTTGCTTTATCTTCTCTTTTCCTTTTCAATATGCACAAACAACCTTAAGTAACAATATAGTGGAGATCTTAAAACTAAGTAATCAGCTTAAGACCAAACCTTTATTATACTCCCCCCCCCCAAAAAAAAACTTTGACGCAGCCTGCAGTAGTTCTTTAATGTTATATTCAATTCTGGATGAAAAAGCCAAATAGTCTTACACTTATTAACACTGACATTTTAAACCATAATTAAGATTGATATAATATTACTTTCTTTTTTCTATCCTCAGTGGTCTAAGCTACTTAAACATTAGAGTGTTAACAATTTTTAGTCAACACTGTATAAATATCACTGTATCAAAATAATCTATGTATTATGTAAGTTTTACAATAATATAATAAAAATCACTATTAAAAAAGAAACAGAATATCTTTTTCTTAAATAATCTGATTAGGGTTTTTAAAAATCCAATCATTTTTTAATTGTTTATGCACAAAAATATTTATTTTTAATTATAGCCATGTAACCATTACATTATTCCTTTTAATGGTAAGCAAAGCACATAAAGAGACTAAAAGAATAAGTAAAGTAAACTGGAGAAAGAAGATAAAAGAGAAGGAAATCTAACTATACCAAACACCATTCACTATATTTTCCATACCATTTTGTATTTGTGACTTATCCTTGCTTCTGCCAAATCCATTCATTAGTTCATAGATTACCTTTTGTTCTATAAATTTCATCATTTTTTTGAGGATCTCATCTGGCCTACCACAACTTTTTCTGCCTTCCCTTTTCTCCCAACCAGGTACTAATACAATGGATGAAGGCTAAACATTTAATACTTAATCTACAGAAGATAAGAGGTGATTCTGGTAAACAAAATATGGAATAGAAATTTAGTCTGTTTGGGATGGGGACAATTCCTGCATAAGATAACTGCATCTCAAGGATGGTACAGAGTTGAATTAATTGTTTCAGGGATCCAAGGGTTAATATGGCTTTGGAGAGTAGAGATGAACATTTTCTCAAATTGCCTGTGGTAAATATGCTTTTCTCTCTAATACTGGGTCTCTGAAGCCCTAGAAGCACTTAATTTGAGATAATGCACTTAGTTAAATTTTAATCCTCCTTGGAATGCATGGCAATTAAAAACAAATGGGTATGTTTTAGAAAACTAGCCTGACTCTATGCTGTTTTGAATTTCTTCATTGACAAGACTAATGTGATGAGCCATTCATTCTCTGGTTCATCAGCTGTTGTCTGAGCCAGTTCCCACCAGCTGAAGTGACATGACCCTTTTGTATTCTTTCTATAGTTAAAATAAAATCAACTGCTACAGTTGTGTGTTGCTCTTTTGAATCTAAGACAGGTGGTGTTCCTTCTAAAGTCTTTTCAGTATGAGAATGTTTCTATACTGTGCACTTGTAGATGTCAGCAGTAGCCATGAGTGTCTAACTTAACCAAACTTTCTATTCTCCATTACTGACAAGGTCAGGCGTGGCCATGATGTTATCTATATTAGTCTAGAGTACAACAGCAGGAATACTGGTTTGCATTTGCAGGCAAAAGTACATGGCACCTCTCTTGTAACAGCTCCATTGGCCAGTTTTTCTATATTCCACAACAGTAGAAGCTGAGTTGGTGGGATAAAAATAAGACTGTTATTTAGAAAACAATTTATTTCACAGGGAATGCAAATTTTATAGATGCCTTATTTTAGGTGTGCTATTGGACTGCTTTTATACTATACAGTCTTTCTTCTTCCTGAACTTTTAAGGGTATGGAATCATGGCTGCAGATATCTGGATGTCCACTAAATGATAGCAAAAAATTAGCTTCCTGCATTTCTTTGCTGCCATATAGTGGTAATCTGAATTTTTGAAACTCAGGTTGTCTATCCATAGTAATTGTTATTCCATAATGTTAACCACTATTAGCTTTTTTTAGCTGTGTATAAACCATCTTTGGAAGAAAAACATACAATTAAAAAAAAAAAAATAAGCAGTCAAAGTATGGGACAACTTTTATATTACATAAATTATACCTTTCATGATTCATTTTTGTTTATTGTTTAAAATAGCCTTCCTGCAGCATTTGGGATCATAGAGAAGTTAAACTTCAGAAAAAGAAAGTATTGAATTTAAATGTGTCCTCAGAGCTTTAATCAAAATAAGCAAAAGAGGCAAGTGGTTTTAGTTTTATAAATTTCATTAAGACTCATTTGAGGAATCTGACCTACAATCATCTGAGAATTGAATACATAAATTGAATACATAAATAACAATTTATGAAAAATCAGTTTTTAAAAATAATATATTACACTCAGTTTGATGTGATAAATTGTTAGGTATGGCTATGGAATATGGGCTGTAAAATCCAGATGATGAATAGCAGCAAAGAATCTTGCACCAGAGGTCTGGTATGATTGTATAGTACAGGACAAAACCAAGGTAGAAAAACAGAAAGGATATAGTCCTAAGTGTTAGGGAACTGAAGTCATGGAGCCAGTACATAGATACACCAGGTGGTCTTACTACTTCCAACTGAAACTCATCATATTGATAGGGAAAGGAGACTAATAACTGTTGTGACACCCATATCCAAGTCTGTTCCATGGTTTCAGTTTCATAATATATGAATATATCTTGATTATGAAGCAATATTCTGAATGTTTACTTAGAAGTCTAATTTAGGAAAAAAAATAGACATGATATTGTGAGGATTTTTAGATATCTCTTTCAGATATTTCAAAATGGAGTATGAATAATTAGCTAATTTACTAAAATGCACACCATTCACAACTTCTCTGAAATAAATAGGAACACTTACTCTATCAGAGGCACTGGTGCTGCTTGTAAGAATTGGTTTAGTAAAAAGAATTTAGTTATACAAATTCATGGAGTGCATTAATCTTGAACTGAATGTTCTCGGGGGGGGGGGTGATATGAAAAAAAGATCCAAGTGGGAAAAAAAATCACCAAATTCTTCCAAAAGTCCACATTACCTATTGCTTCTTTGAGGCTGAAACCCTATATAAATTTACCTATAAGTAAGTCTGATTTAGACTATTTTTTTTATTACAACTGCCTTTTCTAAACAGCTTCTTCTTTGTTAATTATTCATAGACATGATATACTATGATACTATTCTGTTTACAATATCAGTATTACAGAAGTAATATAAGGCAGAAAAGGAGTAAGAAATGGTAAGGCAATAAAAGTAAAGGAATGAGATGAGAAAAAGAAAATAAATCATAGCTAAAATGAGTTTAGATCACCACCATATCTCTTCATGTTCTATCCTTGCAAACCAGTTTTCCTTCACCATTTTCATATATTGCTTCAAATATTACCATTTGTTCTTTAAACCTCTACTTCTCTTTTTTTCAGGAACTCATCAACTCTTTCCATACATACCTTTCTGGCTTTCCCTCTCCTATCAGTATAATCACTTGTTCTTCATATACTAGTTTTTCAACTTATTCCTTGTTCATTTTCTCTATACAAGTAAACTATATTCATGTGCTTCTTTCATATTAGTCACTAGCTTTTATACTCAGTTCATATATATTTAGCACCCAAACTTTCTTGACTCTGTTCTTGTTAATATCATACATACTTCCAATGTACCCCATAATCCTGGTGTAAGGTTTGTAGACCTGAATCTTAGGGAATCTGATGTCAAGAATTCAAGTGGAGGCTCATGAAAAAGAAAACAGTGCTTTATTTGGCCAAGTGAAGCAGCTGGGTGGGCAGCAATCCCAAGACACAGGTGGCAAAAAGTGTTGGGAGGGGCCACACCAACAAGATTTCAAACAAAGTTTTTATAGCTTTGCAAGGACAATAGATTGCAATGAATAAGGCAGTTTAAGGCAGTTTGAACCAGTTTCCCCCTTACCCTCAAGACCTTTTCCCTGGACCCTCCCCTCAAGGTCTTCTGTGTACATGTCTTTCTCACTTCAAGATAATGGTGTCTTCCTAGTGCAAGCGTAAAGTACAGAAGCGAGATAGCAAGAGCCAGGCTGAGAAAATCCCCCCCCCCCTTTCCTCCCCTTCACTGGCATATCCATCTCTCTATTTCCTATTTTAGCATCTATTCAATTCCACTCTATTTACAGTTCTAAAATCTATCACCTTTTCATTTATATTATAGCATTCTAATTCTAGATTTGTGATGGAATGGAATTATGAAGGCCAGGCTCAGGGAGATAAACATTTTCTTAGCTCCCCAGAAGAGCGTGGGAGGAACAAGAGGATGAGACTGGCACCTCCCTGAGGAATTCACACTGTTGTGGCTGGCTGACTTTGGGAGCTGGGGTTTCAGTCTGGGAAGATTCTTGCTAGAGGTTGCAGCTAATAAACATAACTGGACTGAAATTGCATTGCCTGTTGGTGTTCCTTGGGCTAGGCCTGTCAAGATTCGAGCATTCTTTTCTATGTATTTTACTTAACTTTTTTTCTTTTCAACTACTTCCAGGGTTATTTCTTTCTGAGCTGTACACATTTTTCAGCCCTCCTTGAGTAAGACTGCTCATAGTCACTTGTGTGGCCTCAGCTAACTGGTTATGGGATGGTTGGTTGGTGTTTCTTCCATGGAGCTAC